CTCTGAGATCAAATCGGTTTGTCCCAAAAAAGCTGTTTCTTTATAAAAAAGAGAAATTTGCCAACCTTCAGAGGTAAGCTTCTTTTATTTCAATCGTCTCTAATGAATTAAGGTGCCGAGCTGAGTTAAAAAAATCTTGTTCTACAAAATTTTGTTTAACAAACTCTTCACCAGTCAAAAGATAACAATAAGGCAAAAATAAAAACCACACAAACAAACAAAAAAAACTCATAAAAAAAAGCCCTAAAAAAAAGGAAACAAATGCTACGAAATACAAGCGAAGAGCTGAGTCAGACTGGTCATCTCATTTCTTGCGGAAGCTCTGAAGTCGGTCATTGAAGAATTTCACGGCGTCCGGGTCTTTACACCCCGTACCTGCATCCAGTTGCTGTTGCAGACCCTTGTAGTTAGTTTCGGTGAAGATGGCAAAATGCTGGTTCTTTTGATAGCACGATGACAGAGGAAACTCCTCCTCCTTTTCCGCTTGGGAAATACGGGTTCACATCTGGGCAACTTTCTTCAAACCACTGCACGAAATTGTGAAAAGAATGACACTCAGATAAAGAGAGAAGCAACTTTCATCAGAAACTAATTTTATACCATCATCTAGTCTCTAAGATATTTTCTCTCGCAAACAATGAAGCTCGTTTTCAGGAGTGCCTTTTACGAAAATGTTTGGATTTGGTTGAAACTTTCCGATGACATGAATTTTTGAAATCGTCTAGATATTCCTTCAGGAACTGGGAAGGGAGATCTGGGGCGAACCAGAGCTATGACCTCATTTGGAGAAACGTGCTTTACGTTGCCACGAAATATTAGTTTGCTATCGAAGGGAATGGCAGGGGAATAGAAACAAAATAATCAGTTTTACACCAGATGTCTAACCTCCTTGACGCTAACAATAATCTCATTGTTTTTTTTTTTTTCGCCCGTCACTTAAACACTGTCCGCATGATGTATGACCTGTTTGTGATCCCTTCAGTATTAGTTGGTGCTACTTGATACAATAACCGTGTGGGAACAAGCTATCCGATTTGTCTCTTATCTTCCGTCCGAGCGATTTAAAGATTATTCATCAGAAATAAGCTACTTTTTGAAATGATGATTCCAGACCCGAGTTCACTATACAGGGCCAATTACTTCAAGCCAGAATTCCTAAAAATCCGTATTCATAATTAAGAAAATGAAAGAAAATAATTACACACTAGTATGATGCCACATTATTCATTTAGAACTGACTGCTACTAATCGGGGTCAAGGGTGGTTTCTCCCTGTTTTCAAATGGCAATCGTAAGACAGAGTGGAGGGCATTATTTCACAGAGAGTGGGAGCTTTTGATTATTGAAAAGTTTATGTACTCTCGTTACCTTGCTGCCCCCACCGTAGAAGTTATGCTCGAACAAAAGGATTCCTTCCACTTGGTCCGGAAGGAGGAACATGGAACCATTCACAGCTGAGATGTCTACATCAGCTCCAGGTTGGACAACCTTGTAGTTAGATGACTTACTACCTGCTTCTTTGTCATTGAAGTTTGCATAAGTGTAGAAGATCCAAGCTCCTGAGGTTACATTGGCTTTTAAGAATTCATCACCATTCTTTTTCAGGTTCTTGTCTGAATTTTGCGAACTCCTTGTCCAAGTTGTATTTGTCGGTCAACTTGATAGACATGAAGGATCAAACCTGAAAATAGATTAATATGGAAATATCAACACACTGAGATGCAAATGAGTTTACTACGATTGCTTACTTCGTATTAAGGTCCAGCCATTTTTGCGCTGACGAGTCTTTGAAACCCAAAAGTCAACAATTTTAAAAGGAAACAATTTTTTACTTGCCAAATCAGCCCTCCTTAACCGTGGCAATGTAATTGTGGGTGGAGTCGGCCAACTACTGAAAGCTTGAGAAAACTTAAAACTGAGATTTTTTTTTGTGCGTGTGTGTTTCCAAATTGTAAGCTACTGGTTTCCAGCTATTTCTTAAAATAATTTTCCTTACGTGTGTTTTCCAAACGTTATTTCTGGCACGCCAATGTCTTCTTGATGTCTAACGAGACTCCAAACGACACTTTTCCCACTATTCGTGGGATCAGAACTGCGCATGTCATGGACGTGCTGTTTACGACTCGTAAGAAGGATAAAGCACCTAATTTGGCTCCTTAGACATAATCACAACTGCTAAAACTGCCATTCCCCTCAAAATAAAAGATGCAAAAGTGTCAGACAACCAGCGTTTTACGAGGTATTCCTCAAAGAGCAGTTCTCAACAAGATGTTGCTAGATATCTGACAGAAAAAAATTATTTTAAAAGAGAAAAAAACATATATTTTTCATCTATTTGCATGGCTTGGCTTGACCTCAAATACGAATATCATAGCTTGTCTATCATATAGTTTCATGACCGCATTCCAGCATGATGGCATTCCAGAATAATGCCATGGAATTATTTCACATTAGCCATTTGTTAGTAAGGGAAATACAAAAATAAGAGGGGGTCACGTTTTTCTAAGACTTTGTCTTATTGCGCAGGAAGAAATCAGAAAAAAGAATTCTTTCGCTGGCGATTTATCGTGTTTTGTGAGTATTTTTGGGAATGCTTCAGTCTGAATGTAAAAAAGAAGAGGCTCTCAGTGGGGTGTTGGCTTTTACGGATGACGTTTAAAATTTTGGCCATTTTACGACTACGGTTAATCCAAAATGACACAAAATGACACATTGTAGACGGGAAAAATTCTTACCATAAACCTTTCTTACGTCTTACGGTTAAAAGTTTTCCATTTGTTCGCCTAACAGCTGAATTTCTTAGCAATTTGAAAGCTAAAGGTTAACCCCTTAGAGACCCTCTAAGAAATGAACAACCTGTTGCTCCTCACGATTTTCTCTCAAATTTGCACGAACAAAAAAATTGTCTGAAAACTGCCGTTTTTTTACAGGATATTTCTCAAAGAGAAAGTTTCAACACGAGATTATTCCATATTTTAACGAGAAAATTGAATTTTGGAAAGGATTAAAAACGCAGAAGTGTTTTCATCTCGTTGCATAAACGTCTTGGTTGACCTTTAGTACCCGGATCATATAACTTGTCTAATTTGATGTTTCACGGTAGCATTCCGGCACGTACTCTTCAGTGTTTTTCTATATTTCCTTGCATAAGCATTCACGCTCTTATGGGCACCCTCCACCGAATAGGCGCCCACCGCCTAGGTCATAATTTCAAACAGGCGCCCTTTTCGAATAAGCGCCCCCCTCCCTCACTTTCTTAGTTAGTTAGGATAAAAAGAAAACTTGTTTCTATTGCCACTTCATTTATAGGTTTTAAAGCTTCGACTACAGTGGAATCAGTACAAGAGCCTAATACAGTAAGCGCCTCCTCCCCCTCGATTAAACGCCCTCCTTCCAAAAAGCGCCTCTCACTTTTATCTGAAAGTTGGAATATGCGCCCGGGCTCTTATCCGAACAAATACGGTACCTTATGATATAATATTCAACGATAGCCATTTGGCAATGAAGTCGGCTTCTCACACGCATTCTCATTGGCCTAGGGAAAACTAAATTGAGTGCTTATTTCAAGAAGTGGTTTGTTCTTTTAGGTGTATTTTTGGCATGCGATGGATACTTTGGTCTGAATGTAAACAAGAAGTGAAATAATCTGATGCGTTCACCCCTCCCACTTAGAGCCATAGGATAAAAAAAAGGGTCTGACAATTGACATTTCACAAAATGTTCTTCAAAGAATAATTCTGAATAATATGTTGCTTGATAATTTGACAGCAAAATTCAATTTTAAAAAGAACAAACGCATACGCCTTTCAAATCATAGCTTGATCGTTTTGTGGTTTCAAATTAGCAGTCCAGTACTTATTCCCCAGTGTTATACCTTTCGTAATCAAATTGATAATGACTCTCGTGACGACCGTAGAACCTTTTCAGTATGCTGTTTGGGTAAACTGAAGCAATCAAGAAATCGCCTTAAGTTTTCTCTTTAATTTGAAGAACCTGAATGATTTAGAGCTACAATTACGATTTTAATTACGGGAATATCCTCCTTGAACTTAACAATTTGATAGCGAGTGAGTTATAAAGAAAACAAATGTTATTCAAATTTAATTTGAATAACCCGAATGATTTAGGGCTACAATTACGAGTTTAATTACGGGAATATCCTCCTTGAACTTAACAATTTGATTGCGAGTGAGTTATAAAGAAAACAAATGTTATTTAAATTAAAGAGAAAACTTTCGCCGAAAGATTTTTATTTGTAAAGGTAGTTAAAAGGCTTCCGAACAAATTTTCAAACATATTTTGGAAAAGTAACTGTCACGATGTGACACCTGTCAATTGAAGCATACGCTTTTGAAGAAACAGCAGTACTTGTGTGACAAACACACACGAGTTAACTGATCATGCGACGATTTTCTCGTAAAGAGAAAAACAGAGATCTTACGAAAAGTATTTTTTATTTCCAACGACGATTAATCTTCGAAGATTTACCTCTGTTCCGTTTTAAAATGTCACGGAAAGTGAAATTGTAAGTGAATGCAAATATGTGTTTCCCGCTCTTTTTGGTTTTTATCTTTTTTCACACGCACGCACAAATGACAACTTTGTCCGCAACGGACGCGGGTCCTTTCGTTTCAAAAAAATTTGGCAAAATCGGTCAGCCCCACCCAGGCACACCGGCGTCTTTGATGATTTTTAGAATTTTGAAACTTTTAGGAAACCGCAAAAATTGGGTCGCATTAGAAAATGCTTGTGTTGACAGAGTTTAATCCCTAGAGTAAACAATTCGGTCGTAATGCGACCCGAGCCTTAAAGAATCCAGGATGCTACACCAATTTTTGAACAGTTCAGAAATATACGAACAGTTCAGAAGTTCCCACTCAGTATTCATATAACAAACATAATACCACATGGAAACTGCTTTGTACGGTGTTTACACACTCGTTGTTTTGTATCAGAAATCTCACTCGTTCGCTTCGCTCACTTGTTCGATTTCTGATACGCCACAACTCGTGTGTAAACACCGTACGCGCGCACTTTCCATGCAGTATTCTATATTTATGAGTTGTTCCATATACCGTTTAGCAGCTTTGGAGAAATATTTGCCATAAACGACAACCACTAAAGAACAAGCACGTCTACGGGGTACATTCCAGATCGATGACAAGGCTCTAATCCTTCAAGAGGATTACGGGTCAACACTGCCTCAGTTAATTCGATCTTTGATCTTTCGGGTGTTTTGTCGTTCTTGGTCATCTACTGTAGTGCCTCTTAAACATTTTGTACTACCTCATTTATTTTTGCTTCGGTCTTAACATCTCTACACTGTAACTATTTCATATCGTCATCTTATATCCTGCATAACTGTCTCAGTACATTTTGATATTTATTTTTTGTAATTTGCTATTTGTCTCGAAAACTTAACCTAAACTGACTTAATTTTTTTAACGTTTTCTTTATTCATCTATCAGTTGATATCTTGAGGACATACAGGGAAAGCAACATTATATCATTATTCAAAATTTTCTGATAGAAATTTTAATCGATTGGAGTAATAAACAAAGAAATGGTGTCAAGCGGAAAGCGTTTCAGTTTCACACCCAAATAATTGGCTTCAGATATCACCGAGATTGCCTGTTGAAAGCCAATCTGCTGGCAGCCTCTCTTTGGTTTTGTTAAACTGTTTTCATTGGTGCTGCTGGACGAGCACCTTGCGGGCTATGCTTTTAATTTTTCTGCAACATAGTTGATAATTGTTGACTTTCACGTAAACATTACAGACTCTATGCTACACTCAGCTCAAGAAAAGGTTAAAAACTGAGATAAATATGTTCTGATATCACGGTTTTTGAATCGTAACCTTCTAACTCACCTTTACTAGGAAGCTCTTCTGTTTCAAGATAAGTCTAAAGTTACGAATAATCAAGGCTTGGTGAACGTCCCTTTCCCTCTCAAGATCTCATTCACTCCGTAATTACATGCAATTCTTATGATGTTGGTTCAGAGAACTTGTATTGGATCAACTATTGTCCCTTGATTGTTATTTTTCTTTTTTTCCATCACTTCTCTACTTGATATTGTATTAATAATGTAAGGAGAAATTCTGTCTTGGTCACTCATGGGAGGTAAAGGGTAAGATGCCAAGATCTAGAGTTCCGTCAGGGGGAGTAAACTCCCAATCGCTTCACCCTGTAGAAACCAGGATAAGCTCAAACAGTGAACAGCTTAAAGCTCACAATAATTACCTTCTGTATTCAACTTTGATTGACAAAGCTTACAGGAAACTTTGAGATGACTGCGGCTTTTTCAGCCTTAATTGTTCTTTCTACTACACTTGCTTTCTGCTTTGTTTTCATCTGATCTCATCACAGTGTGTAGTTCATGATTCCAGATGGAAAAAGACTTTAAGTTGGTCGTGTTGCATTTATGCTCTTAAATGATGGCAACAATGTTCAGGATCTCCACCTGGTGGCTAGTCAGGAATTAAGTCTGATCTGAATCATTTCTAACAGTAAATTCATTTGTAGGATTACTTGAATGTTAATAAACGTACCAATTTTCACCTTTTTGACTTTGGAAAGCACGGGTGAAAGACTTACTATTTGTTAAGGTTAAAGGTTACTGGATAACATGCAAACTATCAAAATGTACAAAACAAAAGTTACAGTCAGCATACACTGAGATTCGTTTCAGACAAAACCATTTCGGATGTTGCTGTGAAAGCATTGTTTCCACACTACTTTTCCTTGTGCTGGGTCAAAAAATGCAAGATAGTTGGGATATTTTTTAGCACTACTGCTAAGGGATCGTTCCCATCAACTAATCAAAGGTTTATCATGATCGTACTTTGACGCTACGCCAGGTTTGCATAAATCACATAGTCATCACAAATACAAACCTGCATATAAGGGAATGCATTCTTTGAAATGTAATGTACTAACATCCTTGCTCGTTATTATCGATTACTTTTGGGCTACGGCATTTGGGAAAATAGTCGGGGGAAAAAGATCGCCTGTAACAGCATATGAATTACTGGTCCCTCTAGAACTTCCACGACTCCTTGCATTTTAGGTTTTCAAAAAGATATCAGTTGAACAACGACTGCTTGGGCAGTTCGTGCTTGTACATAGTTCTCAATAGCCACGACCCAAATAGCTCTGCAAAAAAAAATGTAAATAAAAAGTAAATAGAAGAATGATTTGGTTAGTTTTCTCCCTCATAAACCACAACACTGTATCACCATATATCTACTTAGAGAGCATAGGTTAACAGAGATGATATGCTACCTTTTCATAGTATAGTGGTTCAAACGTGGACGTTTGGCCATTTTGGCCACTAGTAGCCGTTTAATCATTTTGGCCACCAGGGCCGTTCGGGCAATAGCCGGATCGAAATGCACCAATCACAACAGATCTCCATGATACGTAATGCTGTACCGCAACCAGTCGACCCCATCGCTTGAAGAAGACTTGCAGTAAGCAGTCGAAACGTCGAGTTCTACACCTAGTGACCTTGAGACAACAGATATATAAACTGTTTATGAGTTGCAAGATGGAAACAAACTCTCAAATAGCATCTCATTAACCAGTTCAATAACCACCCTACCCCCCCTCCCAGGACAATTTTGAAACAGCGCGTAAAGTTCATCGACTCCTCTCGCCAGTCCCTTCTCAAAATCATAGAGTTAAAAAGGTGTTTGATAAGATATTCCCTAAGGAGTAATTCTCAAACGCGATAATGCTCGATATTTTAGGAACCTTTTTACTTTGAAAAGGTTAAAAACGTGTAAGTCCTTCATCTGTTTGCATGGGTTGACAAAACTTTAAGCTTGATTGTTTCCTTATCGACAGCATTCCAGCACGTACTTCACGGTGTTATACCCGACGTGTTGATGTTGTTTCAGTAATAGCCATTTGAATCCAAGGAAAAGACAGCAAGAGTTGCGAGTGCGTTTTTCTTAGACATTATCTTGATGTACAGGGGAAAATAAGAAAAAAAATGTTTCTTCAGAGACTGTTTGCTGTGTTTTGAATATTTTTAGCGAGTGATGAATGCTTCATTCTCAATGTATTTAACAGCCTGACGCGGCTGACGGTTGCCTTTCAAAATTGCACGAATAAAAGAAATATATGAATACTGGCGTTTTCCACGATATTTCTTAAAAATAATTCTTCTCGTGACGTTTTTCGATAATTTAAGCGCAAAATTGAGTTTTAAAAACACAAAACGGGTCAGTAACGCATTCGTATTTCAAATTATAGCTTGTTTGTTTTGTTGTTTCGCGATAGCATTCCAGCACCTATTCCACGGTCTCATGGTTGTAATGGCATTGATATTGGGTGACCGATAAGAGTTAATTAAGAAATAAGAAGCTTCAAGATTTTACGAAAAGATGGGTACCACTGTTGTACGAATTTTTGTTTTGATAATGCGCGGAGGAAATATGTTGATGGCTCATTGAAAATCTGCATTGTTTATTTTTATTATCAACCAACTCGTGCTTCAAATCTAATGGAAGTATTTGCACTGTGTCTGTGATATGTTGTGCTAACTAGTAATTGTGATAGGGGTAGTGTGAGTAATTGTGAAAAAGTGTGAGAGGCATTGTGAGTAATGTAAGCATTGTTAGTATTGTAATTACAGTAAGTGATTTACGTAGTATTAATAACGTACTGTTGTATGTAGTTAATAATATTAATAATATTAATAATAATAATTATATATATATATATATATATTTATTAAAAACTAGATCATTGGATAATGCAATTCAAGACTTTTTATTGGCTTAGCCATTATGGTATATCAGCCAATATACCATAATCTTCAAATATGGTAAGCGTGCGTGTCAGCTTAAAATTCAAAGGGAGCTGAAAATGTAATATATTTTAATAATTCAATTTAACGTTTTTAATAAAACACTTATCATCATCGACTTTCCAGATGATTTTTAAAAAATTGTTTATTTCATCTTTACATTATCATCATCATCATCTTTATTTGCCTTACTTTAATGATAAAAAATATTTCATTACAGCGATAACAGTTAGAAGGCGAGGAGACCCAAGAAGCCAGCGGAGTTATGGGAGAGCCACCTCACTTACAATAATAAATCAAGTAAAGAAAACGTGCTGCGAATGTGCGGCTTGGCCAATTCAGTGATTATTTAAGTAAAAAAACTAGCAATTTCGTTTTAAAGCTGAGAAAGTTTGACGAACGAGTGACTGAAATAAGGAGAGAGTTCCAAATTTTAGGACCTTGGTAGAGAATTGTAAATTGCTTGACATTTGTACGGCACGAATGCGTTCGACAATTATTGGCTCTTCTGGTACCATAGTTGTGAATTTGGCTATTCCTTACAAAAAGATCGAGAAGCAATGGGGGCAATAAGTTATTATTGAAATGGATATTGTTGGATATGAGATGATTATAGCCAACTCGGCACTAAGCCCCTCGTTGGCTCTCTATCATCTCATATCCAGCTCGTGGAATAATCGTTAAATAGAAATAAAAATATAAATAATAAAAAAAAACGCGGTGCTACGCTCCTCTTTGGTTATCTTTTATCTCATATTAGGCGCGTGCTCATAGTTTAAATTGGCGTGATATTGGCGTGATATTGGCGTAATATTGGCGTGAGAGCCAACGATTGTCAACTGAATCAGAGAAAAAAACTATTTTTTTGTACATTTGGACTGAGTAGAACTTAAAAAGACAGCAAAACAAGTCAAGAATGTCAATCAAAAAGGGTCAAAGTTTCGATCATTTCTGTTTTCTGTAAAAATATAGAAACAACCACCACCACCAACCAATATATTCTGCATATTTACTTTCATGTATATTTTTTATTTAACAATTGGTTCATGCTTTAGCGTGCACTATCGAGTTATGGAGCACGCGGGAAGTTTGGAGAGCACGAAAGAAGCGTAAGAGTTGCCCGAGGCGATAGCCGAGGGAAACTCTAGCTTCTTGAGTGCTCTCCAAACTTCCCACGTGCTCCATAACTCGATAGTGCACAGCTGAAANGCAAATCGTGACGGCGCTGTTTCCGAGTCTCCTTTTCCTTTGTTTTTCTCTCTTTCTGCCTCATTTAAGAGCTCTAACCCAAGGGAAAAGGTCGAAACATTGTCTTCGTTTTCGGACTAGTAGGCCGAGTTTCTGTTCAGTAGCACAGATGCATTTCTTACGAGAGATGCATTTAACCGCGATTCAATATCGAGACAGCAGATAAATTAAATTGAAGAAAACTGCAAATATTGCTGGAAGGAAATTCCGTCGCAGAAATCTCTTATGTCCGGACAGTACTAATAGAGAGACCAACACAACGAAACATGCCAATCACATCACTGAAAAATGAGTGCCTTGTTGTTGATGATTGTTGTTGACAATCTTATGTCTTACATTTCCTGAAATCACGGTTCGCTATCAGTAAGATTGTTTTTTTTGTAATTACAATTGAAATTTTTGCGCGCTCATTGATTTGAGAGAGCCATTGTTAATAAGATAATTTGGTCTTATCAACGAAGTTGAAATTGTAAAAAGCTGACGTTTCGAACGTTAGCCCTTCGTCAGAGCGTTAATAAGGTTTTATATAATAAGCCGAATTATATTATACGCTGAACGACACACGCGTTTTGATTGGTTCTAACTTGTGATCTATTGGAGAATAGACGCATAGACGACGTCACCATTAACAATGTTTCGATTTGTTTTTACATGGATTAAATGGATTCCATGTTGCCGTAAGTCTGTACAGTAATGGATCCCAGAAAATGACAAAATGCGTTGAGAACATCAGTGACACAGTCATGATCAGCTACGCCCCGTGTGCTACTTCTTTGTTCTTACTATTTCTTCTTACCACTTTCCTTAGTAATTTAGTTATTTGTGATTTCATAATATTATTGCAGATTTGATCAATCATAGTTCCATTGCAAGGAGTAACTACATTCACTGCATGATAATAACCGAATTCTGAGACCATTGGACTACATAAACCAGAGCCATCATGTTTATTAAAGTAAGCCAATTTACTTTAAAATCACTAAACATTACAAGTACAGAAGTACCTTACAGCCTTAAATAGTTGCCTTAAAGGCACACTAGATGATCCATGAATAACAGCAATTGTAATAGTAAATTACTAATTGAGCCGTAAGTCTTAGTCCGTGGTAACAGCACATCATGAAATTCAACCTTTCAAGCTAGTTTCTGCAAAAAAATGCAACATACTGTGAATAAAACTGGATATACCTTTTCACATCTAGGTAGTGTTTATGTTTCTCTCATTCTCTTTTTCATTTCGGCTGTTAGACCGCTGTCTTTCTTGAATTCTTTGCAGTCTCAAAGGACACCAACGCTCTTTAACGTTATCAAACCATCTTTCTTATTTTTCATTTCCACTGATAGACACCTTGCCTGATTTTTTACCATTTTGTTGCACCTCTTGAATGACAACTTTCACAACACATTTTTCAGACACTGTCTTGTTGCCTCGATCCTCTCTTTCTTTCTTTCTGCTATTTTCTTCCTTTCTTTAATTTTCTTGTAACCTTGCATTTCTCTCATGTTTTGTTTCATAGAGGATTGGAATGGGAACTACTCCGGTCGCAAATGTAAACATAGGTACCGAAAGGACCCCTCAGTATAATGTCTTAGAAAACTCTATTTTTATGTAAGGTCCTTGTTTGGTTGCATGCCTTTAAAAGAAAAATAAGTAACTTTACCTCCTTTTTTCTAAAACGGCCACATTTTCCATATTCGTCCCCACTCCCTTGTTTTGAAGCGATTTTGAATCTAAGCAGGGAAATAACAAAGATAGATTCTAATAATGGATACTTTCTATTACTGAAAATAATACTACTTATTGTAATGATAATAATCTTTATTAACACTAGTGATATCATCGTTATTTTTTGTCATTGTTTTTATCATCATTATCATTGACCGTATTCTTGATTTTAATCTTCATATTACTGTTATGTTTATATCGTTATCGATTTTGAATTGATTACCTACCTTGAGGGAACACCTCTCTCAAAAAAAACATATCATTGTGTCGAGAATGAGCATTCTTTAAAGCAATTGGCTGGTAGAATGCTTTTCCCACAACCAGTTTATAATCTCGTGACACAACTCATTCCTTAAGTACCTCAGGTACAAGCACTAAAAGCATTTCCTCGTTTTTGGATGGTGCTTTATGATGGAAATATTTCAGTAAATCGGTAGTTTACAGAAAACAAACCCTGACCAAATAATGAAACAATTAAAGAATACAGTTTTCTACCTTTCGAGACCAAGAAGAGTGCAATAAGGGTTGCACTCGTGTGAACGTTTGAACTGCGTAAAACCTCCCTCTCCAAGGTTTCCAGCGCCAAACAGCCTATGACACACGATTTTAACAAACATTAAATATAACACACAGACAAACTTCTTTTTCGGATAAAAATTTAAACTGCCAGATTGTCACAATTACCTTTTTCAAGGAAGAAAACACTTAAACCTCTTAAATAGTGATAGCCATGACTTTGCACCGGAAATTGTGTACCACGTTGTCCTTAGTCTTATCTACAGCGGCAGATTGGCCAATCAGATTGCGACATTACTACCAATTGTGATAAAATTCCCTTCTCGTAATTTTCAAAATAAATTTCGCGAACTTACTCACGCTCCTTGTCCACCGATGCTATTTGGATGTCTGTAAGGGCATCCTCAGACCCTACAAAAAGGTAAAATAGCGTGAGGATTACTCGTTTATGCGCTAACTTTTCTCTCGGATGGAATTAAGATTTAAAAATAATCGAATCGATGTGATTTTTTATTTATTGATAGCAATACATTTTATGGCTTATGGTCAAGATCTACTACATGAACCAGTCAAAAAAGTTTTATTTTCCTAACCTTGTACGTCGCAAACTAGGAATCTACCCCCTGTGAACTTCAAGGACCAGTGGGAGAAAGCCAAGCATTTTTGGCCCAACTGACTTCTCAGACTAGGTGGTTCTGGCAGCCCATCGTTGTTTATATGCTTTACATAGGAACTTGAGTCAATCTTTGGCTCAATAGTGAAATAATTAGGAGGGCCTACTTGCTGCACCAGGAAGGATGGTAGTATCCTAACGAGAATGAACATAAAGAAAAGGAAATTAAGATAGAGAAATTAAAAACTTTCCAAACGTTAAACAGGGCAAAATGCGCACCAGTCGACGTTCATTGCGAATTATGCGTCCATTAAGGACTGCAGCGAAAACATTTTTCTTTAATAAGTATCAATTATATATGCTGTCATATTCGCCTTTTGGGACCTAGGCACAGACATAAAAAGCCCGCTAACATTCTAAAAAAACTTTACTAGAAAGAAGGATGTAAGAAAAGAAGCCGGCCTTTAAATATATACCGGGGAAATGCACCAAAGCCTTCGATGCCTTTGACTTTCTTGGAAAATATTTCCCCCAACGTCTGGGCAACGGCCTGGGTCTGAACGTCCTAAATTGTGAAGGAAAATACTGGGTTTTACGAGCAGTAAAGAACAACACATACATACATACATACATACATATGATAACTGACCACTCCCCATGGGGGCTTTTCATGGCCAATTCCCAACCAGCAACCACCCCAGGGGAGGACATCCATCACACAGTAATCTCGTGCGTGGGAAATTAACGTCTCCTACCCCTAACCCAGCAGGAGAAGGGACCTCCATTTATTCGTCCCTATCCGAGAAGACTAGAGTACCTAACCATTTCTTGATGTAGAAAGGTAGCATATTCTTCTCACTTGTTTTAAGAGCGTGAGTGTTGGTCCGGCCGGGGCTCGAACCCTCGACCTCCCGCACAACAGTGCAGCGCTCTATCGATTGAACTAACTGGGAGGCGATAACCTTTCTATTCTCTTTAACGAACAACTCTGTTCATTGCAAGGTTACTCGATCTGATCTGGAGAATTTCTTTCAATTAATCTCAAAATACTCTATTTTTGGCCTTACAAATATAAATGACTAAAAAGTCAAACACAGATACTAGAGCTTGGGTGATTTATCAGCGAAATCGAAGCCAAGCAGAAACCAGCTTCGAAGGGTCACTATTTCATGGCTTTTTTTCTTAAACCGCAGAATTAATCGATTAATAGCTGAGAAAAAACTAGCCATCAAAGCAAATATGTTTTGAAAGCTTTTAAACACTTACCTTTCTACACAGATCATACCGATCACCATTCACATTCTCCAGATAGTCTTTCAGAACCCATTCATCGGAGGCTCGATTTAAGAATTCTTCCGGAAATCCGAAAATTTCTGCTGCATAACATTTTCTCATGCCACCCGCACTGATGAACCTATTCCGCTTCATGACTGTGAAATGGTGGGCGGTTTGCCACCTTCCCTCGAAGGTCCTCTCATCCACTCTAAATGCGTGGATCAAAAAAATCCTACCTAATGGCAAGAAAAAAAGCCATGTGAATTTCGTTCACCAGGACAAAAGATAAATTAAAAAACAAAATGAAAAAGGTCACTTTAACAATCATTGTCAACAATTTATTAAGCAAAACAAACCACTGTTAATTGGAAAATCTTTTCCGCATGTCTCCATCTGAGCCAAGGCACTTACAGGAATTTCGGATTCTTTGTTATTCTGAAAGTAAGTATACCATGTAAAACCATAAATGGCATTTTAAAACACTTATCTCGACCGATATTTCGACCAACTATCGACTTAGTGCCGAGCGAGTGTCGATCGACATATCAGTCGAGTATCAACCGACTCTCGACCAATACATCGGTCGAGAGCACCTTCGGTAAACATTATCCATGAAGTTAACGCCTGTTCTTATTAACTGTTTGCTGTCTAACGTTTTGATGAACATGCTAAATTGAGCGAGAAATACATAATTGGGTAATATCGACTGAGTTAAAGCATTTCCAGTACAACGAGCAAAAATGCTCCACTTCAACAACATCGCTACAAAAATAAACATTGTCTTCAAAACACCGATTGTTATTGTACATCAAGTTCAGTGTTTCCTGCCGTTCATGAACCACACGTTCTTAAATCAAGGCGTTCGATAAGTTGAGGAACATATTTGTTTCCTTCGCCATATTTGTGAAACCTATCACGCCCTGAAATTACATTTGCTTGTACTGTGATAACAATTATGTCTTTCATGTAGTGCACGTATTTTTGCAGAAAAAAATCATTTTGATGTGAAAAAATCAGAACTGATTAAAAAAACAAAGCATGCCGTTTCACCCAATCAGAACACTCGTAACATCGAATTATTTTTTGGCAAACTTTAATTGTTGTAAATACTCTTTTGTTATTAAAATCATTCGTGAATGGAATGACCTGCCCGCCAATGTCGTTGAGATAGGTAACTTAACATGTTTCAAAACAGCTCTTAAATTATACATGCATATTTCTTAGGTTTTTATCCATCTTAGATTTTATTATCAGCATACATTTTTAAATTTTATTTCTTTAGAAGTTTATCTACAAAGGTTTAACCTCTTAAAAGGATGTTTAAGGGTATCAATTTGTGTTGTTTATTTCTTTGATACCTTAAATAAAGTATGTATGTATGCATGTATTTTTAAAATGAAAAATATCTTCGACATCTAGACATGTAGCTATGGCAGCTGCTCTTCAATTATATTCATTAATATTTATTAATGGTGTTTGATGCTAGCAGGACATGTAGCCATAGAAACTGATCATGATGACCTGTGTACACCAATGACAATGGATTTTAAATA